GCTTGCATGTTCGCGCCGCCATGCTGACTTCTGCGCTGCAGGTCCCTTTGACGTGTCCGACACTGACTGCTCTGCCGACTCCGAGGGCGCCGCAGAGCGTTGACCCGGGTGCGTGTGCTTGAGAACCTGGATGATGCAGCGACTGCTGAGCTGTGCACTTTCAATCCTCTGGAGGGGCGTCGTCTGAGTGAGCTTGAGAGTCTGCCATGATAAACCGACTCTTCCGTGCGGTGATACAGAAACACACTGCCTCGTATCTTCGAGTTCGTCCCCTCATCCTGGACCGCATTTGAGTTCTGTGCTAGCCGAATCAAAGTTTGCGCCCGTGTCGTCGTGCCTGTGCGTTGCCTCGGCTCCAGGGATTCTTGCAAGATCTGAACTAGAGTCGTGCCGACGTGCTGCTATATAGAGCCTCGAGCTGCCATGGCGTCGCTGGCGTCCGTGCTTGCCCGCTTGCAGGAGGCCGACTTCGCCGTGGTGGTTGCGGCCTGGCTTGCCGGTGACGCGACTGGTGCGCCGCGCCGCGCCCGTCGTCTTTTCGCGGCGCGCTCGGCAGGCGCCGCTGAGTTCTCCGAGGCTGTCCTCGAAAACGTCTATGCGAAGCTGACGGGCGCCGACCTGCTGCGCGGCCTCACAGCGGCGCCGTCCACGGCGCGCATTGCTTGCTGCACTACAACGTGTACCTTGTGTGGGGTCGACTTGGAGATCGGCGAGACCCGCTCTACTTATGCTCTCACCTGGGCCACAGGCCTGCAGCGTGTTCACTACGAGCGGCGTCGGTGCCCCGAATGCCTTTGTCACTACTCTTCCTGCTGGCGCACGGGCCGAACGGGCAGCCTGTTCCTTTGCTCGACTCCTCTGCACCTGGATTTCCTGCAGTTTCTGGCGCACCCGCAGCACGATGCTTGTGCCTTCATAGATTGCCGTCTGCTGAACTTCTGCACGAGCCTTGTGGTTCGCCTTCGTGCATCTTTCATCGGCATTGTCCAGGTCTTGCAGGACACCATGGCCGCCGGGCTGTCGCTGCCTCTGCGCCAGGAGCTCTTCCAGCTTTGGATGTTTTGGCGCAGTCTGGCGATCATTCCTGCCGCGGACTTGACCGACATACCTTTTGTCTTCTCCCACCATGGACGACAGGAGCTCCGTGCCTGGCTGGTGCGCGTGCACGTCTTGCTGCAGGACCGCCACTTGCGGTATCTTGCTCGGGATCACTGGTGCGCTGTCTGTGCTCGCTGTCCTTCCGTCGGCATCGATGGCAAGATGTCCGTCAGTGCTGCTGTCTGCGCCTCTCTAGATGGCCCCGACTGGACCTGTCGGTACAGCGGCTTGCAGCGATTTCCTGGTTGCTGGCTGCCACCTCAACGCCGCAGCCGCTTCTGTCGGCAGCACGCAGGCAGCGGGCCTGACCTGGGGGACTTCCTCTGCCCCGCCGAGCACGTCCTCGGCTTTTTGCCCGATTCGGCGCAGCGTCGCCACTGCTGTGATGTCTGTGCCTGTACATTGGCCGCTGACCAGCCACTCTGGCGTTGTGAGGTTTGCGACTTCGATGTCTGCGTGGCTTGCGCCGAGGACCCTCAACGTGTGCCTTCTTCCGCCGTCGCGCAGGCGTCTGCGAGCCCGGCTGCCAGCATCGAGCCCGTGGCCGAAAATGAGTTGAATTCTTGCGGCATCGTGAAAAGGCTTCCTGTCTCCCGGCTGCGCCGACAGGGTGGTGTACTTACTGCAATGCTCGCCTGTGGACGCGTGGCACATCTGCAGCTTCTGGCTGGTGCCGAGTCCGCCACCCAGGTGACCATGCTTTTGGCCGACCTGCGTGCTGTGCGCTCCTTCAACTACATCATCTACGACGACGCCTGTCACCTGGCCCGTTTCGTGCGCAATCGCGCCCGCAGATCGCCGCGCTCGGTGCTCTGTCAGCTGGCTGAAGCGACGTACGTCATCGACCGGTTTCATCGATGCAATCACACCGCTTGTTTGCAGG